GCGCCCCCACCCGGGCCCCCCCACCCGGCCCAACCACACCGGGCGCACGGAGGGCGCACGCGGGCGGCCCTGAGCGGCGGTGGGGCGCGGGGCGCCGCTGCCCCCGCGGACGGCTATCTGCCTGCCCATCAGCGCGCGGATCTGCGGCGTAAATGATGCATTGGACGAGGGGCGCATTTGTTGTGCGCGCTCTGAAAGGGCTCCGATAATCTGGAAGGCAGAGATAAGGAACACCATTTATTCCGCGGTACTTGGGAAACAATTCCCAGCCCTGTACAACCCCATTCTCGGGCAGCCTCCGGGAGCCGGGCAGATAACGATTGGCTATTCATTATCTTCGCCGGGAACAAAGATTAGCCGGCCGCGATGAAAAATTACCCCGGACAGCGGCGCAGCCCCGCGCGGACCCCCCTGCCCGCTGCTGGAGCCGGGTGCCCGCCCTGCTGCTCACGCCCTCGCCCTGGGCCCTGTCTCCAGGCCGAGCAGTCAGGCCGGCCGCTGATCCTTTGTGCCCCTCTTCCCTGCAGCCCTTTCCACCTCCATCCCTCTTGGTGGCCTGGCCCTGTCTCTCCGCTCTCTGGTATCTCTCTCCCCTTCCTGGTCTCTGACCACATCTACCTGTTACCACGTGCTCTGCCTTTACCCCTCCCTCTGACCTTTTGGCCACTTCTGTTGTCTCTCTCTCCTCTCTGTCCTCAGCTCCCACCAGCAGGGCCCTCTGTCTGTCTGTCTGTCTGTCTGTCATCTTCAATCTGTCCTCAGGTCTCTGTCCCTTGCCTGGAGCTCCCTGCCACTGGCCCTCCTCTCCCTCCATCTGCCCCAGCCTCTCCGGGCACCCATTGGCCACAGCCCAGAGACTGGAGGCTCCAGCTTGCATCGGCCAGCCCAGCCCAGTCAGCACAGCAGGCAGGGGCAGGTGGGGTCCTGGGTCCATGGCCTGGAACCCCCTCCAGGGAAGCAGGACAGAATCAGGAAAGTTCGCACTGACAGCCCTGGCCCTGCTGGGTTCAGGCATAGTTTGCTCCAGGAAGGCCCAGTGCCCCTCCCTATGGAGACCAGCGAGGCCACCTCATTAGAGCAGTTATTCAGAATGGCACTGGCCAAGACAGATAAGGCTTATCTGCTCATCTTCCCACGTATGGACAGAGTGCCCTGCGCTGGCACTGGGAGCTCCCCTGGAGGCCTGCCCCGCTGGCTGGGGCAGGTGTGCGTGGCAGGGCAGTCCGGGAGGACACACATACCTTGTGTCACCCAGGGACACATCCCTCAGACACAGGGTGGCACTCGGCAGACAGTCATGTACAGAGGCCCACGCTGCCCGGCAACAGCACAGACGCCCCTCAGCTCCAGGTCTGTGCTGTGGACAGATGGACACTCAGGCAGGAGCAGGTGCTCGGTGCACGGGTACTGACTCTTCCACACTCCCAGTTACCGTGAAGAATCACACATGGACATGCAGACACGTCGCCACGCCTCCACATGTGCCCAAACACACCAGCTCACAGATGCAGGAGCACACTGATCCAAGTGCCCACCCCCAATCTTGTGACTCTTAGGCACGAAGACCCCACAGATACACATCCCAGGGACACACGCCCAGGCCTGGAGGCTCACTCTCCTCCGCGCTCTGAAATAGTCACACAGTGACCTGCTGCCAACCCACACACTCAGGGACCCCCAGGCTCCACTCTGCACAGATGAAGAGCCACACATGCAGGGCTGTCACCATAGGCCTGGAGAAAAGCCCACAGCCAGCAGGTGCCACAGCTGGGACCTTCCAGGGATCCTCAGGGCATGGTCACTCTCCCAGCACAGCTGGAGTGGGACACAGGGCCCCACGGAAGGGCTCGCAGCCCTTGGCAGAAACCTGCTGATACAGGACTGACTTGGCTCTTCCAAAGCTCAGGGGCCTTCCCAGGCCTCCCACACCCAACCTCAACCCCCAGCCCTCTGCTCCGCATCTTCCCTCTAGAAAGGCCCGAAACTCCAGAACTGCTCTGTCCTGGGACACTGGAATTAGGGGAAAGGAATTGCTGCTGAACTTAGCCAAACCAGCTGGAGCAGGGGGTTGAGTGTGCACACACACTGTCGGGGGACGTCCACAAGCCGCACCACCGAGGGAGCCCAGGTACGCACACATGTGAGCACTCCTGGGAGCGGCAGGAGCGGGCGTCTGTTCCCGTGCATGTGAGCCTGTGTGCGGGTGACTGGAGGACTTGGAGGTGCCTAACCCAGAGGCCTGACAGAGCGTGGGTGTGCTGTGTACCGCGGGAGGGCAGGAGTGCCTGGAGTGGACAGCAGGGTGGGAGCGGGGGTCCTCAGCCTGCCAGGCTGGCCAGTTGGCTTGCAGAGATTCCAGCACCCTCTTGCACCCTGAGAGGTTCCCGCCCTCTCAAAGCAATGTCGAAATAAAAAGCAGCAGTGCTGTGTCCCACAGGGAAAGGTAGCCACAGCGCGAGGGAGGTGGCCAGGCCAACCGCACCCGGCTCTCGCTCAGGGCGCCCAGCAGGCGGACAAAAGCAGCCCCTGAGCAGCAGGCGGCTGGCCGGTGCAGTCCAGGCCCTGCTGGTGAGCGGCCCTCAGCGCGATCCGGTCGGAAACGCCCTGCCCTGTAGAGCTCTGTGTCCCGCTGCGGGGCCGGGTAAGTTCCCTTCGCACCCAGCGCCTGACCACAGTCCCTGGGCCCCCGGACTCGGGAGTTGCACAGTCCCTTTGGCTCTGTGGCCCTACCTTTGGGGCTTTCCAGTGGCTTGGACCCCGGTCTTAGGGGCTAAGCCGGAGGGAGAATTCGGGAACTTGGAGTCGAACAGGCCTCCTGCATTCCCATTTCTGCAAGCCCCAGGCCCGGAGCCCCCTGCCTTCTTAGAACTTCGCACGGCACCCCTCTCCCAGCCCTGGAGCGGGGGCCTTTGTCTCGGCTGCCCCCACTCCTCCCCCGCAGGCCCAGCCGGGGCTGCACCTGCCGGCTGGTCCCGTGCGCCGGCTTTGCGCGGCTTAACCCAGCTCGCTCCTGCTTGCACCCCCGCGCGCCTGGCCCCGGCCTTTTATCCTGTGTGACTGGGGTGCCCATTGGGGAGAGCATCAGGTCTCCAAGTCTCCCCCAGCTCCTAGCAGGAGTTGGAATCCGTTTAGTGTGATTTTAATAAGAATGGGGCCGCTGCCGGCTAGGGGTCTGCCACGGGTAGAGGCGGCTCGCTCCTGCTTGCACCCCCGCGCGCCTGGCCCCGGCCTTTTATCCTGTGTGACTGGGGTGCCCATTGGGGAGAGCATCAGGTCTCCAAGTCTCCCCCAGCTCCTAGCAGGAGTTGGAATCCGTTTAGTGTGATTTTAATAAGAATGGGGCCGCTGCCGGCTAGGGGTCTGCCACGGGTAGAGGAATTTTGGACCTGCCCGGAAGCCAGGCATTTACAGGCACCCAGAGGCAGCCAGGCTGGAGCTCAGGGTTGCCCCGATCGGGAGGGGATAGGTCCAGTGCTCAGGGTCCCCGGGTCTGGCAGCGGCCCCTTTACCGGAAGACAAGGAAGGAAATTCGTTGTTTTGGGAAAAGCTACGTCTCCCGGTGTCAAGAAAAGCTGGTGGTGAACGCCGGTCTACGCAGGCACCTGAGCTGGGATTCGTTTATGAACAGGCTGGATTCAAGATCCAGGTAGGGCCAGAGCAGCCGCCCAGGGGTCTGGAGAGCGTTTCCCAGCCGGGCTGACAAATTGCAAACAAATTGCGTCTAACGAAATGGATTTACTAGTGGTCATGCCGGGCGCGCTGCACCGGGGCCCTCTGATAAACCTGGGTTGGCCGGGAGGAGGGACAAAGGGCTGGCTGGCTGCAGGTCTCAGCCTCCCGGAGGCTGAGGGGCTTGGTGCTGGGGTCGGGATCTGCCTAAGGAGATGCAGCACCGCGGAGTGTCCCCAGAGGCCTAGGGTATTGTCCCAGAGGCTGTGATTCTAAAAGACCCAGATCGGGAGGCGGGTGGGAAAGGGCAGGAAGGTCTGTGGGGAATCTAGGCGCCCTGGGCGCCCCTCTGGAGGGGTAGCTGCCGTCTGAGCTGACCTAGCCTCCGAGCCCCTCTGCCAGGGCGCCCCACCTTCTCCCCAGTAGCCCTGAGTTTACTGCCAGCCCGGGCCCAGTCCACTAGGCTAGGAATGAGATGTCCTAGAAAGGTAGGAAGGCAGCCCGAATCAACCCTCACCCCTCCACTGCAGCCAATTAGCCGCCCATAGGAAAAGGCGAGAAGAATTAGGTTACAAAGAGCGGGCAAACTTACGGTCCCAGAGGGGCCACCTCGGATGAGCGAAGTTTGAACAAAGGGTGCAGAGAGGGGGGGCTGCGAGGCTGGCAGGGGCTCTGGGACGGGCTGGAGTCTGCTGCTCAGGCTTCCCAGGGATCGCCTTCGCTGCACCCTCGCTCCTGGGGGGTTCTGGGGAAGGGCTCTTAGGAAGTGCAGTTTCCTCAGCTGCTCTTTCCCGGGCCTCCAAGAATCTTGTTCTCCGTAAGAAAAGTGACAGTCTCTTAGCGTGATCAAAGGCAGCGGCCCGCCTTTCCACCTATGTTCAGGAATGAGCAAAAAATGGAAAAAAGGAAGCAAAAGAACAAAGAAAAAAATAGAAAAAAAGGAGTGTCTCCCCGAAAGTATTATGCAGAGCTCAAGTCCAAGACCCTGAGCTCCAATAAATCTGCTTTCGCCGCGGAGCCCAGCGGGCTGAGTACGTGCCCAGCCTCTCCTGAGGACTGCCCTGACCCTCCCCAGATGTTTGCTTGGGACTGAGATTGGAGCACAGTCTCCCAGCCTCCTGGGCGAGAGCGGCCGGCGGTGTCCCTCTGCCTGGTTCCCACACTCAGCACAGGGCCCGGTTTCTGGCCCGCTGGCCTCTGGGTGCTGGCCTCCGCCGCTGACTCGCTGCTGCCCGGAGCACCAGTCCCGCTTCCAGCGCAGCAGCCCCAGCGAGGTGGAGGCTCTGGCCGCCGAACTTGCCAGCAACCCGGGCCCCAGGGGACCTGGCGGACGTCCGTGTCCCCTTCCCCCAGCCCAGGTTGCAGACTGAGAGGCTGCTGGGGGCCTCCGGAGGCCGCGGCTCAAGTGCTGCTTAACCGCCCCGCTAAGCTGCCCAGCGGAGTAATTAACTCGCGCCCGCGATCCGCTCGCAGCCAGGCTGTCCGCGCAAGGCTGACGCTCCGCCAGGAGCCTCTGCCCGGCCGGCCGCCCCGACCCCGTGGTCGCATTCTGCCTACGAAGGGCTAGAGGCCAGCGCGCGGTGCTGGGGATCGTTTTAACCACGCCTTTGGGAGAAAAGGGCAACCTACCTGCTTTCCGAGGGCCCTGGGCCGCCGCCGTCGCCGCGCTCCGTCAAGTGCCCGCTCCGTCCCGCCCGGCGTCAGCGCTCCGCGCCGTATCCCGGTTTCGAGCTGAGCGGGACAGCCTTGGACGTCGGGGGTTGTCCCCGAGACCGCAGTGTCTCTGGGAATCTTCCACCAGGCTCCGGGGACGACAGACGAGCTCGAGGCTCCTGACGCTGTCGCTCTGCGCGTTGATGGCTGACGCTGTCGCTCTGCGCGTTGATGGACCATCTTAAGCTACGAGCGGAGAGAAGCCGAGAGAGACC